GTCAAGGAAACTCTCAGTTGGTTTCAGAGAAAGAAACTAAAGCTGCTGGAATGGCCCAGCCAATCACCTGGTTTACAGTTTGCCATTCCACATTATTACAAACAGCTTCATTTCTGGACATTTATGGTTTGATTTCTTTGTATGTATGGATCACTTGGATTGTTACCGACATCTGGTGAAAATTTCATGTCATTAGCACCTCTAGTAATATATTTACTGAGAGAAATGGTGACGTGTTCAATACTTATTTTACCCACTGTATGTTCCAGAACTGAACTGAACTATTTTCTTTAAAAGTTATTGTAAAGATTACTTTTGACATACTGCCTTTTGTTTTGTAGTGGAAGTATTATATTATCTCTATATGACCGCACATCGCGATGACATGCTTCTGGTCTGTATCTTTTCGATAAACTGCTCTGTGTATAATCTGTTCTCATAACGATGCTGTGTGTACTGTACTCTGCAATCTTGTTCTCATCTCACATGACCTACATAACTTGTAATTATTCTGTTGGTCTCTGGATATCTGACGCTCTTATTTTCTCGGCCCGGATGTATAAATTATATTTCCTGTCTCTCAGTAGTCAGTAGCTCCGTGGAGGTACTGCCTGATTCGGGCCTCTGCAGCGCTGATCTGCATATACACCTCTATTAAATTAATCTGAGACCAGACCACTCAGTTTCACTTTGTTTATTCATGTATTTTCTGCCTGGTGGAATATTTTCCACGACAGTTTAAATAAGATTTATTGTTCTTTAACACTTAATTATGAATATACAAACCTAATATTCTTCAATGTTTTAATTTTCTAACCTACTAGCAGCTTGTGTTGTATTTTTAATTATCAATGAAAATGACAAAGTTCTGATTTAATTAATAAAATAACTATTGAACAAGCAGTAGACAGAAACAATAATGCATTTTAGTTCAAAACAGCAGACACAAGCTCTTTAGTTTCCTTTTATCTATAAAATACCACACTTTATTTAAAGAGGACACCATAAAACACCTTTTGTTGTGTACTTGGAGCCCTAGGCGGCAGAAAAGTGGTATTTACACATGCACTGTGYATGTGTCTTGATATTCTGTTTGGGTCAGACTTTTCAACCTGTTCAGTTTTCTCTATTTTCTATGATGTTTTCTGAACTATTACCTCAAATTATTTAACATACAGTATAAGGTCTTGACCAACTACAAACTGGTGGTCTTTGGTTCTGGGTCAGACTCTGGCTCCAACATGTAAGGCTGGATGAACAGGTCTTCCCTTGTTGACATCTTTCAATGAATTTGTAAATAAAAAGTTTCTGCACTGCAGGACAGATGTAAACCCCTCCATAAACTAGAATGAACCGGTCTGGAAGCTGGAGGGGGGCAGGGAGTGAAGCGCCTTGTAAGGATTTAAAGAGGCAGCGTCAAAACAAGTTGCTTTAAACCACACACCAGAAAAGGGGTGAAAGAGGGGATTGTGGAGTTACAWTATGGAGGAATTCAGACCAAAGCGTTGCAGTTCCATTTTATGAAGACTGAATGATTAAAATGTGAAAGAAGGACTTAAAAGCATCATATGTCCATTCAAAATTCCAGGCTGAATAGAATACAAACTTAAGAATATCACAACAATTTGGTCAGCTCTAAAAAAAAGATGTAAATCTTTTGTACATTCTGTTAAGTAAATATTTTTATAACTTGTGTTATACAATTCAGATAAGGGACAAAATCAAATTAAACATTTCATTTAAACGTCTGAAGTGGTTTCTGTGCAAACTTTCAAAGTATATTTTGGATCCTGGAGCCAACCAGCTGCAGGAGATGCTGTGTCTAATCTCAGATAACTTACCTGTGCATCGGTCCTCTCTCTGTAGGCCCTGGAGGAGTCGTCTTTGTGTCGGAGAAGTGTCTGCAGCTCAGAAATATTGCAGCTAAGTTTAGACACCTGAGATCAGACAAAACAGACAGGAACCACCCTTAGGTTTCTTTTTAAAACTACACACTGTCTGCATGTTGTTCTAGTTGTCAGTGTAATCACTGACAACTGACACTGACAACTGACCATGGTGACGCTGTGTAACATTCACAGTGTCTGAGAGCACCTTTGGATTTTCACTCTATGTTTTCAATATATAATAATGAGATAACTTTATTAAGAGAGAGAGCTGTTATAACCTAAAGGGAATAGAGATGTTCATGAAACATAAATTTAGATCAAGTCTGAAAGAACGTGTACCTCAATCCAAGGAGTCAGATTGTGGAATAATCTGGAAGAGGATTTTAAAAATGCTAGATCAATGTACATGTTCAAGAGAATGATAAAAGGTGGGCATTTGAAGAAATATGAAAACAGTATAATATACTGTATATTCATGTAAAGTTGTGTTCTAGAAGGGTTTGATGTTTTTTATGTTTTGTTTTGTGTTAACTGAAGATTAGTATTGTTTGAGTATATACTTGAGGAAAAAAAGGGGCAGATATAAGATTTTATCTCCTATCTGCTTCCTTTCATTTCATTGTATTTATGTTTTTTCTTTTTTATATTTGTACATAGAATTGATTTGTTTTAAAGAAATGAATAAAGA